GATGATAGATGGATAGGTGGATGGATGGATGGATGGATGGATGGATAGATGATAGATAGATGGATGGATGGATGGATGGATAGATGATAGATAGATGGATGGATGGATAGATGATAGATAGATGGATGGATGGATGGATGGATAATGGATAGATAGATAGATAGATAGATAGATATATAGATAGATAGTGGATGGATGGATGGATGAATGGATGGATGGATGGATGGATGGATAGATGATAGATGGATAGATAGATAAGATGATAGATGGATAGATGGATAGATGATAGATAGATAGATAGAATTTTGGCATGAAATATGACCTGGACAGGTAATACAACAAATAACATCATGCATTATATATAATATTAATTTATGGACTATTAATTTGCTTTACAAATGCTCTGACAAAATGCTTTGTATTTAATTATAGGAGAATTCTCAGTCTAAGACAAGGTAAAACATCTTCAAAATTAACCCTCCTTTTTTTATTTTTTTTATTACACACATTAAACTTTAACACAATTATGCTGAACTCAGTTTTCTTTAGCAGTGATTACAGCACTAATAATATTCAGTATGGATAAAAACATGCCACTTTGACTTAAAATTTAAGGCAGCAATTAAACAGTACACTCTTAAAAATAAAGGTGCTTCAACGGTTCTTCACAGCGATGCCATAGAAGAACCTTTTTTGGTTCCACAAAGAAGCATTCAGTCAAAGGTTCTTTAAAGAACCATCTCTTTCTTACCTTTTTATAATCTGAAGAACCTTCTTTCGCCACAAAGAAGCTTTTGTGAAACAGAAAGGTTCTTCAGATGTTGAAGGTTCTTTATGGAACCATTTAGACAAAAAAAAAGGTTCTTCTATGGCATCGTGAAGCAGCTTTATTTTTAAGAGTTTATATGGGACTAGAATATTCACACATTAAAATCTACACAACTACATTTGGTGAAACTTACAGTAACAGTGTTAATAAGTCTTTCTAAAAGTGCAACAACAGCCCTTAATGATTCAGTCCTGCACTTCCCCATGTCCTTCGTTACTGAGACACACATCACATGCTTCTCTGTTCTGTTGTTCTCTGTGAAAAACATGTTTTATTCTGATCAGCAGGTCTAACACGACTCTACAACCCAACACACATATGGCGCCACCTAAAGCCAGTCCACGGTATTACACAACCATTATTACCCATTACAAACCACTAGATTAGCTCTGAATTCACCAGTTCAATTATTTAGCACTTTTACAAACATTTATCATTATAACCATATCAAAATATTGCCTATAGTTTCTATCAAAATACGTTAGATGCATATATACATCCTTCTTCAGTTTCATTATTTTGGTGCTCTAATAATGCTAAACGTTTATAAGACAATGACCAGTGTTGGGGGTAACACATTACAAGTAACGCGAGTTACGTAATCAGATTACTTTTTTCAAGTAACTAGTAAAGTAACGCATTACTTTTTAATTTACAAGAGAATATCTGAGTTACTTTTTCAAATAAGTAACGCAAGTTACTTTTTTTTCCAATTTATTGATTGACAACTGTCCTGTCCCCATGTTGAGAGAAATCAGAAGATGTTACTGTAATCCAGTTCAACCGTACTAATAAGCAAAAATTTACTCTAGACAAGCATTATGTGTCTTTTTTTATTGCTGAAGTGTGTTGAAATGTCTTCTTCTGCATTCTACTGTACGGACGTAAATGTACTTTCCCTTCAGCCTGAGGCTTATTCATTTCACTTTTGGTGTGAAAAGGCTTTTATATTTGCCAAAAATATAACTTTTTTATTTTAAAAACAAACAAGCAAGCCCTGTCCAGATTTAAAAAGTAACGCAAAAGTAACGTAACGCATTACTTTCCATAAAAAGTAACTAAGTAACATAATTAGTTACTTTTTTATGGAGTAACGCAATATTGTAATGCATTACTTTTAAAAGTAACTTTCCCCAACACTGACAATGACAATGTCAAATCACTACGAAATATCCCTGAGATATGTATTTTAAAGAAAAGTTGATTGCACAAATAATAATAATAAAAATGTTTGACATGTTTTATCTGTTCATACAGAATGAACATCAGAAGGCCAACAATAACTCCAGTAAGTATTGATGATTTTTTATTACTTTTTACATAACATTTAAAAATAAGACATGGTGCACATTTACAACATGTGCATGTGATTAGCATGTAAATAAGCAACCTATATGTAGATATAACAGTGTAAATGCATGTTTTGAATGGAGAACATGATGATGGTCTATGTGTGTTTTAAGCAGGAACCACAGTCAGAGGACGAGTATGAGGTGTGTGAAGCAGACGACAGTGAGTATCAGTCACAAACCAGACCCGAGCAAATGAATGCATGAAAACCCATGTATGTAACGTGTGTCTGATTGTCATTAGGTGTCAGTGAAGGGCCAGAGGAGGCCACAGAGGCCCGGAGACCATCAATGCCCACACCGCGACCTAGAGACCTGTAAGTGACTCCCTTAAACACTGAACGATAATGAATCAATCTGCCATAACATCAGATTCACTATCTAACAGTTCATCACTGCTGATCTTTCAGGAAGAAACCTAATCCTGCTTTGACACCGGTATGGACTCGTTTATCTTATCTAATCTCTATTTAATGGTAAATCAAAACATTCAGTGACAAATACTTGTCCATTTTTGCAGAAACCAAACATTGCTCACAGAGACAGTGAAGGTAACTATCAAAATCACTACAAAAGAACAGAAAAAGCAATGGCTATGTCCAGAACAGACTAGCATACGGCTTGCACTATTTTAAATAGTAAGATGCAAAACAGAAAGCATTATGCTGCAATAAATGTTTCAAGCAGTATTCGACACTGTGGTCATGTGACCTCATTACATTGCATTTGTAATTCAGCAAGAGATGCCCATTAATGATCTCCAAAATAAATCTAAGTTAAACAATGTCTTTAAGTTTGGTAGTCAAACCGATGCAGTATTCCACAAAATATGCTCTGTTTTATAATGTGCAATTTGGCAGTGTATAAAGAAAATCAGCATACTACACTACTGGTCAAACTGATACTGTATTCCACAAATTAAGCTCTGTTTAATAATGCACAATTTGCATTATGGATGCATACAGGAAAAATAGCATACTGCATGTTTCTGATGCAGAATCCCACAAAGCTAATGTGCAATTTGGCAGATCTATGCAAGAAAACTACTGTACTGCACAAATATTCCACAAAGCAAGCTCCATTTCATAATCCACAATTTGGCAGATCCATACATGCATACAGAAAATTAGCATGTATGTTTCCGATGCAGTTTTCAGCAAAGTAAGTTCTGATTGATAATGCACAAAAATGCAGAATTTGTCAGGTCCATGCATGCATGCATAGAGAAAATTTGCATGCTGCACGATTCTGATGCAGTATTCCAGCACAAGCTGGCAGATCCATGCATGAACCCGTACAGAAAATGTGAATACTGCATGTTTCTGATGCAGTATTCCACAAATTAAGTTGTTTTATAATGCACAATTTGACAGATCCACGCATGCATGCATGCATACAGAAAAGTAGCATAGTGCACAAATAAAATCTACACTGCATTTGGTTAAACTGATGCAGTATTCCATAAATTAAGTTCTGTTTTAAATGCACAGCTTGACAGACAAATTAAGCAGTTGCAGATCCATGCATGCATACAGAAAATTAGCATACTGCTCAAGTAGTACTACTAGTATGGTAGTAGGCTATTCTGAATATAGCCAATGACTTGTAGATGTGGCTGACATTAGAGTTTGCTGCACATTTATAAAAAGCAATTTTAACTCTGACCTTGTATTGTTTTAGAGTAGAGACTAAAGTCGCCTATTAACAATTGCATGATCTCTGTTACAGCCACATCTATTAAAACAACACCAGTAACTATATCACGAAGCCCACCAGACACCATGCCGAGCCCGTCGCCAACAGGGTTCCATCGAGCCAAGTAAAAAAAAAAAGAGTTTCATTTTCTCCTGTAAGCATAAACTATTATAATTTCATGAACAAAAGGACTAAACTACAGTCTCCTTTTCTGCTATAGATATATGCCTCTGCCTCGACAGCTTCCCTCCCAAAGTAAGATTCAAGCTTTTTCAGTTTGCAATAGACACATTTATATGCCTATAACTTTCTGACAGCCTTGATGAAGTTTCTTTTTCTAGCAATTGATTAATATTGTTTTATTTCCACAGGCAGAGGGACGTTGCCTTCAGAGAGCAGATCAGCTAGAGATGCTGAAGAGGTGATTGCAATTACTGACTTCCCTTTAAATGCATTTACTTCTTTATGTATATGTTTTAATTTTTTTTATTTTGTAGGGTTTGGCTCTGACAGAAAATGAAAAATGCCCCATATGTTTGTGTGTCTCAGTTCGCAGCTTAACTACTATAATCAAGAACATCCCAGCATTCACTTACAGTGTCTGTCAGTCTATAACTGTCCTGTTCTCTCACACAGGAAGCTGGTGTGTATAAAAAGGTTTGGTATGCCAGCAGCTGTGACCGCAAGACAGCAGAGGACGCTCTCCTACGCTCAGCTAAGGCACGTCAGACCTGCACAGAATAACACAAAACTATGCTGAATGACACTGCATTATAAATACCAGCAAGAGCAAGGGGCATAACATGTTTTATTTCAGCTAGCTGTCAAGGCAACATTTCTTGTTTTCAACTTGAAGTGGCCTATTAAAATAACAAACTAAAACTCAAAAACAAAAACAGCAAAAACTATATAGACATATACAGTATCTAACAGAAGTGAGTACACCCCTCACATTTTTGTAAATATTTTATTATATCTTTTCATGTGACAACACTGAAGAAATGATACTTTGCTACAATGTAAAGTAGTGAGTGTACAGCTTGTATAACAGTGTAAATTTGCTGTCCCCTCAAAATAACTCAACACACAGGTACTCACTTTTGTGGCCAGGTTTAGACATTAATGGCTGTGTGTTGAGTTATTTTGAGGGACAGCAAATTTACACTGTTATACAAGCTGTACACTCACTACTTTACATTGTAGCAAAGTGTCATTTCTTCAGTGTTGTCACATGAAAAGATATAATAAAATATTTACAAAAATGTGAGGGGTGTACTCACTTCTGTGAGATACTGTATATGTGTGTGTGAAAAATTATAACTTTAACTAGAATTAAAATGAATACAGAAAAAAAATAGAAACTAATTCAAATATATATATATATATATATTTCGATTTCGATTCAATATCAATTCATATACTGTACATATAATTGGATAAAAGGAGATCTTTTGTTGAATGCAGTCGAATGCCTTTTTTAGCACAATTTTAAACATGGGTTAAATTCAGTATTTGCTTGCATTCATTATGTGTATTTATACGAGTATCATTAAAAAAGGATGTAACACTAATTTTAAAAAAATCTAGTATTTAAACATGTCTAAATATTTATTCAAATGAAAAACTTAAAAAATAAGTAAGCAGGTATGACCTGCAATATTCTTTTAAGAAACTAGTAGATACATGTATATTTAGTAAAGAGCCATACAGGTACCTAGTGGGTAAACCATGGCATTACAAATGAAAGTGATTTTTTTCCGACCACAAATGACTCTAATTTGCCTCTTTGCATTGGAATTTAAAACCCTTTTCTCTAATTGAACCTTAAATACTACACTAATTGTAATATAAGTATTAGAAATTTTTGAGAAAAAAATATTTTAAGTCATTAATGGACCATATTTATTGCACAAATAGTATTTAGTATCAAAAGATCTCCTCAAAATATTAAATAAATATTATTGAACTAAAATAAAGAACATTTATTTAACTGAAAAATAGTTAAGCTGTATGTTCACATTATAAGTAAGCAATCCTGAGGGTTAAATACAAGAAAACCATATTAATGTTACCTCTCCATCACTCTCCAGAATGAAATGATACTGTATGTCACAATGTTTCCATCTAACATGTATTTTGAGCTGCAGCTCGTAATATTATTGTAGAGTTTCACTAGTTAGCAGTAAACAGGTTCACAAACAGTATACTTACACAGTAGCAGTGTTGGGGGTAACGCATTACAAGTAACGTGAGTTACGTAATCAGATTACTTTTTTCAAGTAACTAGTAAAGTAACGCATTACTTTTTAATTTACTAGAGAATATCTGAGTTACTTTTTCAAATAAGTAACGCAAGTTACTTTTTTTTCCAATTTATTGATTGACAGCTCTCCTGTCCCCATGTTGAGAGAAATCAGAAGATATTACTGTAGTTCTAAAATAAATATGAATATGCATTAATTAATCTCACTCACAAAAAAAATAGTTACTTTTTTATGGAGTAACGCAATATTGTAATGCATTACTTTTAAAAGTAACTTTCCCCAACACTGCACAGTAGGCTACATTTCCGTGTTGCAAACATTAAATAATAACAAAAGTATATTGGGATATAAGTTTATAGTCCGGATATAGACTCTGATGTTGTGGCAGCCGTGATCAAAATGAATAACCGGAACTAAATAAAGATTGTATATGTTACATTATGCCAGTAGGTGGCGTCCAGTGACTGTTAAAATTTGATGTCTGAATCATTCATTCAAGAGATTTGTTCAAAAACTCTGGACGAAACAAGTCTTCATTCATTTATTTCAAATGTTTTTTACACAATGAATTCATTTAAATTAAGAAATATTTTTAAATAGTCTTATTTATAACATTTTAGACATTTAATAAGCCACCCCCCCAACCTAAAATAGAAAGAAAAAAAGGCTCTTTGGTCAAAAAGGGTTCCCTACCCCTGCTTTACAACATCACCAGATAATTACTGGCTGAAGCTAAAATAGTGGTGCATGGTGCTTGCAATGCCAAGTTCACGGGTTCAATTTCCAAGCAATGCATGAGCTGATAAAACACTTTAAAAAAGCAATGCAAGCTGCTTATGATAAAAGCACATGCCAAATGCATAAATGTAAGAGTCTATCTCTATTTGGGATGTAATGCTTATGTGCCTCTTTGTCTGATTTGATTTCAGGACAGCTCTTTTCTGCTCAGGAAGAGCTCTGGTGTGGACGCGCAGCAGCCGTACACACTGGTGGTGTTTTACAACAGCCGAGTTTACAACATCCCTGTCCGCTACATCGCTTCCACCAAACAGTATGCTTTGGGGAAAGAAAAACAAGGAGAGGAGGTAAAACCACATGGATGTTGCCCCAAAGAGTATTTGTACACTCAATTCGCATTTAAAAATGAAAATGTTGTCATTACTTGCTCATCCTCATGTCAATCTAAACTCAATAATATTTAAAAAATGCACTCATACCACTCAGGTAACGTGGCTTAAGTGTCAAAATACATTCTGATGTCTATGGAAGCTTGTTTCCTCCACAGAATAAAAAAATAAAAACAGTAACTGTGATTATTTATCTCACAATTCTGAGTTTTTAACTTGCAATTCTGACATTTTTTCTCAGAATTCTGAGTTTACATTCTGTTCAATTCTGTTTTTGTTTTCACCACAGAATAAAAAAAAGTTATTGCAACTTTATATCTACCAATTCTGACTTTTTCCACACAATTGTAAATTGATATCTTAATTAAACTACTTTTTTCTTGTAACTGAGATCATATCTTGCAGTTCTGATTTTTTCTCAGAACTGAGAGGGGAAAAGTCAGAATTGTGAGATATAAACTCAGAATTGAGAGAAAAAAGCCTGAACTGTGAGACATAATTTAGGGGTGTGCGCTATTTATCTGCGATAATATCTTAATTTTTGTTTTTATAATATGCAAGCTTACATTATCAAGTATGTCACTCGCTTTGAACAAAAAACAAACAAAAACATGTTTTGAGAGTCCAAAAGCATTCACTGCATAATAAAGCTTATTAGAATGCAGTTAAAATGCCCCTATAATTCATCTTATGAAAGCAAAAAAAAAAAAATACCTGTAGAGGTTTTTGTTTTTCATATTTATATAAAAAATAATTTTATACAACAATTAAAATATTAATTTTATACAACAGTTTAACAACCAACAGTTTAATATTGAGTGACTTACAAATTTTATAAACATTAATGGCCGAGTTTTTTTATTTTTGTCAACGAAGATAGTTCCAAACAAATATTTGTGACTCAGACCAACACTGCAGTTTCCTTTCTGGATGAATCTGTTTTTTGAACAAATCATCTGAGTCAATGATTCAATTATCCATTCATAAATACAGTCACTTGCTTCGTTTCTAAATTAATCAACCGTTTTGAATGAATCGCTCAAATGAATGATTCACTGAATCAGTCATTAAGACAGGGACTTGCCGCCACCTACTGGCGGTTTTAGTGTCATATTTATTTATCCATGACAGGCCTAAACCAGACAAGGTACTTATCAAAATATTGTTTAAAGGGTTAGTTCACCCAAAAATGAAAATTCTGTCATTAATTACTCGCCCTCATGTCGTTCCAAACCTGCAAGTCCTTCCTTCATCTTCGGAACACAAATTAAGATATTTTTGATAAAATCCGAGAGCTCTCTGACCCTCCATAGACAGCAAGTGTTCTTACACGATCAAGGTCCAGAAATGTAGTAAGGACATCGGTAAAATAGTCCATGTGACATCAGGGGTTCAACCGTAATTTTTTTATCTTTTTGTGCGCAAAGAAAACAAAAATAACATGCACATGCGTTAGCTATTTTACCGATCTCCTTACTAAGTTTCTGGACCTTGATCGTGTAAGAACACTTGCTGTCTATGTGAGGGTCAGAGAGCTCTCGGATTTTATCAAAAAGGTCTTACGGCTTTGGAATGACATGAGGGTGAGTAATTAATGACAGAATTTTCATTTTTGGGTGAACTATCCTTTAATTATCATTATGGAAAAAAAATCCCAATAAATCGACATATTATTTTTTGTCAGTATCGCATACCCCTAATATAAACTCATAATTGCGAGAAAAAAAAGTCAAAAATTTTTTTTTTTTATTCCATAGAAAAAAAACAAGCTTCCATAGGCTTCACTGCATGAGGTGAAAAAGGTCAATCACTGACTAAACTATCCTCTCTCTCTCTCTCAAGCGTTTCAGCAGCGTCTCAGACATCATTGAGAACCACCAGAAGAATCCTCTAGTGCTGGTCGACTCACAAAGCAACACCAAAGACTCCACCAAACTCAGGCACGCAGTCAAGCCATGAGGCAGCCTTTGAAACAGCGTGAAACTCAAGACATTCATGACAAATATAACTGCATTGAGACGTTCATTCAACTGTGTGGTAGTTTCACATCTTACCTTGAGAGATGATGGAAACAGATCTACGCTTGCAAAGCTGGGACTTGCTTCTACTTTTATAACTTATTTTGCAGACTGACAGGTTAAGGGGCCGTTCGCACAGGACGCGTTCTTGCGTTTGAAAACAGCAGCGAGACGCGCTGTTTATTTTGACACGGCGCAACGTGAAGAAAAGTCTTTTAAAAATACATCGCAGGAGAACGCGTTTTGTGCAAACCGTCCCGAAACACAGAGAGAACAGCAGTGTTGTATAAGATACGCAAATATGGTACAGCTGTACAGTTTATATGTGTTTATGGGTGTATGAATCGTTGTATAAACATTTGTTTTACCTTACATAAGGTGTGTTGAGTAAAAAAATAAATAAAATACTTTTTTTATTAAAGTGGTTGTTTTGCGTATGTTGCGTAAAATTATAACGATTAGCATTGCACAATCCTAAATATTTGCATAAGGGGAATATTATCACGTGGGTATTGTGTATAGGTCTATATATATACAGTGGTGGCCAAAAGTATTAGAACACTAGTATTTTCTAGTTCTATTTTCTATTCTCTGCTCAAGTGCACCGAGGACAAAAGCTGCTTTAAACACAAAGGATGCTCACACCAAAAGCTGATTTCATTTAGTTTATCAAGTTAATTGATAAAGAAAATCTATTTATAACATAATTTTTGACAGCATCCTCATTTTACAGCATTTTTACTCGTGCCTAAAACTTTTAACAGCACTGTAGCTTTAACTTTCCCCGTTTTAATTGCCTTTGCCTTTTGAAATCACTCAAAGATTTATTATATGAACTTTTTTATTATATGACTGTGCTAGTCTTTATAGTTCCCTTTCATGGGAACTTCGAACTGCGTCCTCTAGGGGTCGCTATGGGGAACGCCTCGTCGTGACCCGTGTCTGAAGCATACATTGAAAAAACACCAACTCGTTGGCCGGCGACAGCCATGACGTCACTACCGGTGCGACTATAGTATAAATAGGCGCCGGGAGTGACATGTTCTCCCGGCGCCTATTTATACTATAGTCGCACCGGTAGTGACGTCATGGCTGTCGCCGGCCAACGAGTTGGTGTTTTTTCAATGTATGCTTCAGACACGGGTCACGACGAGGCGTTCCCCATAGCGACCCCTAGAGGACGCAGTGTCTCGTTCCCTACTCAGGGAACCATGGTTACATAAGTAACCTGAGACGTTCTGTAAGAGAATAAAGGTTCCGAACAAAATAAAATCAAATAATGTTTTGCATGGTAAATCCCTGAGCTGGGTCAGAGCAGGCATTATTTAGTCTGACTTCACATTGAATTTTGAGCAGGCACAGAGCAGCCTTAACTTGGCTGTGTAAAGATGGCTTAAGATATCCTTATTGTTTCATATACTGTATATAGTACCTATGAAGTGGTGTGCACTGTAAGGTGTCAAGAGGCTGAATGCAAATATTCTTTGGAGCTATTTTGCAACAGTATACGTCATCTAATGACCTGACATCTACCGTTAATTTGTGTATAGTAAAAAGTCATAAATAATAAATGATAATTTTTTGTACCACATATAGGCTAGTTGATTCTGTTGCTACATTTGTTCAATGATATGCCTGTAATTTCATCACTTTTTAGGTTACAATACCTGGCAACCTTATGTGGGCGACCCAAAAGTTAATATTTACCATATGTGACCATTCAATTACATAAATGTTTGTTTTCTCTAGCAGTGGTTCTGAACTTCCAGATCATCTGTTTTGTGATTTCATTTGAAAATTTCACTATCATATTTTTGTCACTTGTTTTTTTCAGTATACAAGTATAGTAAAAAACAAAACACTGATGTATATGCAAAATGGTGTTGTCAGAACAAGATACATATGTACCTGTACCGAAACAAAACATGAATTTTCAAAATAATTATATTTCTTTATTTATTGATAGCTCTAGAGGTTTTTTTTTGTAGAGGCACTTCTACAATACAGCAATACAAGGTGTCATTCACAGCTGTTAGTGCAACACTAGTGCTTTAACCAGTGTTTAAACTTCTACAGAAACATAAGAGACACGCTTGGTTTTCAAGTGAAGTGGATCACAGACCATCTTCAGACTTTTACAGAAATTCACACCACTATTAAGTGCCTGATTCGCAGTGCAATCAAAGGTTTGCCTGGTGAAAATTAACTCAAGGAATTATTATTCTGATCAGATTACACACTCTAAAAAATGCTGGGTTAAAAAGGGACAAACCCAGCTATTGGGATGTTTTGACCCAGCTATTGGGATGTTTTGACCCAGCTATTGGGTTGTTTTGACCCAGCTATTGGGATGTTTTGACCCAGCTGTTGGG